AATCTACACAGAGCTTGACAGACCAATCACCAAGCTTTGCCTACTGCCATCAGATCCACCACCTCCAGAGCAACCTCCAGACGATGATGCAGAAGATCAACAGGACTAAAATCACCATTAATTCATCATCCCTGATGATGAATTGCCCCCGGGGTGTTCGAAATACCGCCTAAATCTCCAAAATGGTTACGGTCGACTAATTCGGCCATCTCCGAAAATCTCCGTGAACTTTCGGGTCAACGGACACAGGTCAGCGCGGCACCCGGAAGAGTCAGTCAGTAGTAGTATAGAAGTATCGTTACGATAATGAGCTAGCGTATTCAGTCAACCAGTATTATAAATTTAATAATTTTGTTCAGTACATCAACTTATTGATTCAGTTCAGAAATTACAGTGACTCAACGAGATAAGGTGCAAAAGGACAATATCAGTGAAAATTAGACATTCAACAATAATTGAAACCAAAGAGTGTAACGAAATTGTGATAAGTGGTTCGATCCCACGCCAAATATAGTGATAATTTTCTAAAACGCCTAAATAATTTTCCCAACATCTCCCTCCACATTTTCATCCCACATCCACCCTAAACGAGTTCCTCACCAAACAGACCTTTTTTGTAGCTGATAGAATTCCGCACAAAAAATGTCTTATGATATTCTCTAGTAGAACCACTCGTTCTCATGATAAATTCAAAGTTATCAAAACCCTAAAAACTTGAAGAACAAAAAATTTCAAATTTCAATTTTTCGATAATTCTGCATTTATCTCAGAGAAAAACGAGTGGGTTAAGGAGAAAACGTCAATAGACCTGTTTTGTATCTGATAAAATGTCCCACAAAAAAGTATTTTTTGATTTTCCGCTAAACCCACTCATTATCGAGATAATCACGTATTCAAAATCATGTAAAAATCATCCTATTCCAAATGGCAAACTTGACAGTTTTATTAATTACGTATTTATCTCAAGAACGATTGGGTTTATGAGGACATGTCAGAAGACCTTGTTTGAAACGCAGTCAAAATTCAGTATATCAACGGTTGACCACAAATCGGCCACTTACGAAAATCTTCGGGAAACCTCGGGTCAACGGTCAGGCCTAGTCAATCACCGAATCTCAGAGTCAGTTGCAGTCAGTCGTAGAGAGTCGTAGCAACTGAGTTGAGCGAACAGTATATCGTTTTTCTAAAGGTACTTTCGGTTGTCCGAACAGCGTCAGTACATCACCCGTTCGAGACATTTTGTTTTCTCAGTACATCTCCTATTTAAATTCTCAGTACAGTCTCCTATTATTCAGTATATTGTTCAGAAAATCTCCAGTGTTAAATTCAGAACAGTTTGAATCAATTTAAGTGACAATTAACAGAGTGTAACAAGTGACGCTAAGGTGGTTCGATTCCACCGAATAAATCAGTATAATTTTTATAGACTCAGTGCGTTCGTTTTTCACCGGCATTGCCACTACCCCTTTCCCAATCCACCCTAAATTCAGTTTTCCCTCCAAACAGACCTTTTTTGTAGCTGATAAAATTCTGCACGAAAAATATCTTGTGATATTCTCTACTAGAACCACTCGTTCTCATCATAAATTCAAAGTTATCAAAACCCTAAAAACTTCAAGAGCAACAAATTTTTTCGATCATTCTGCATTTATCTCAGAGACGAGTGGGTTTAGGAGAAAATGTCAATAGACCTTGTTTGAAACGTAACTCAACCTCTCCAAGACCAAGGTCGATCAGCTCGGCCAATTACTAGTAGAGTCTAGTAGAGTCACCGTAAATCAACACGAGTCAGTACATCACGGTCTGTCGTATAGCACGTTTTGAAAGGAATTCAACTCTGTAGAGTTTAGACCACAGTACATTAGCGTCTATTAACTCGGTGATAGAAATTCAGTAAAAGAAAATCACGTTATTTATTGACCATTCAACCAGTGACTCACAGTGCAAAACCGATAGACAATTAAATTAACTCAGTACGATCAACAAGTGATAAGCTGTTTTTGTAAATTTGACAAAGCGTGGTTCGAACTCGAGAATAAATGCACGTGGATATTAGTTCAAGACTCTCAACAATTATTTGACACCGACGATCCTCTAACCTCCCAATCCACCCTAAATCTAGTTCCTCACCAAACAGACCTGTTTTGTAGCTGCCAAAATTTCCCACAAAAGGATATTTTCTGATTTTCCGCTAAACCCACTCATTATCGAGATAATCAGGCATTTAAAATCATGCAAAAATCATCCTATTCCAAATTGCGAACTTGCCAGTTTTGTTGATTACGTATTTATCTCAAGAACGATTGGGTTTATGAGGACATGTCAAAAAACCTTTTTTGTAGCTAATAAAATTCTGCACAAAAAACGTCTTATGATATTCTTTACTAGAACCACTCGTTCTCATGATAAATTCAAAGTTATCATAACCCTAACAACTTCAAAAACAACAAATCTCAAATTACAATTTTTCGATCATTCTGTATTTATCTCAGAAACGAGTGGATTTAAGGGAAAATGTCAAAAGATATTTTCTGTGGGGAATTTCTTCAGCTACGAAAAAAGTCAATTGACCATGTCAAATTTGACGCTTTTGTTAGTTATGTATTTATCTCAAGAGTGGTTGGGTTTATGAGGAAATTTCAGAAAACCTTTTCTGTAGCTGATAGAATTTCACACAAAAAATGTCTCGTACCATTTTCCACTAGAACCACTCCTTCACATGATAAATCCAAAGTTATCGTAACCCTAAAAACTTCGAAAAAAACTTCGAAACCATCAAATCCAAAATTCTAATGTTTTTATAAATCTATCTTTATCTCGGAAATGAGTGAGTTTAGAAGAAAATGTCAGAAGTCATATTCTGTAGGAAATTTTGATAGCTACAAAAAAGGTCTGTTTGGTGAGGAACTAGTTTAGGGTGGATGTGGGATGAAAATGTGGAGGGAGATGTTGGGAAAATTATCGTAGGCGTTTTATAAAATTATCAATATATTTGGTGTGGGATCGAACCACTTGTCACTATTTCGGTACACTCTTTGGTTTCAATTATTGTTGAATGTCCAATTTTCACTGATATTGTCTTTTTCACCTTATCTCGTTGAGTCACTGAAATTACTGAACTTAATCAACAAGTTGATGTACTGAACAAAATTATTAAATTTATAATACTGTTTGACTGAACACTTT